TTATGATGATAATTTAATATAAGTTAAATATAGATTTTAATAAAAAAATAATATAATATAGTTAGCACAATGGCTATGCATTAAACCCTTTTTCAAAGAAATCAAAGTTCAACTCTCAAACATATACTACAACATTTGTAATTTTACTTAAAGTTATCACCTTATTGGTAAAAAAAACAAATATCACTAAAATGCCGAAAATAAAAAAGAAAATGATATAAAAATCAAAAGAAATATAAAAAAAATGTTATGTCAATTATATTTTAACAATAGAACTAAAACAAAAACATAACATTAGATGTGATTTTGAAGAAAAAAAGTAGGTAACAGATATAGAAACAAAGTTATAAATGGGTGACTGAACATGTAATTTACCTGAAAAACTAGTCAACTGCCAATTGAAAACATTTAAAATAGTATAGTAATTTAACATTTTAAATAGTATAGTAATTTAACATTTTAGTAATTTACTTCATAGGTTAGACCAACAGACAATGAAAAGTTGAATTTTGGAAAATATGAGGGGATTCAACTTGCAGTCTCGCATATTTGTTATAAATACCACAACATACTAAAATTTTAGATCAAGTTCTTGCATTATTAATTGAGTCATTCATGGAAATCAGCTGTCAGGAAGGGTAGATCAGCTGACAAAGTAGAAAAATGGTTATGCAATCATTATTGGAACCTCGTATGACCTCTATCTCGTTTCAGATTAACAGCAGAGGCTATGTCTGTCCCTCTTAAGAAAAGAAAAAGGGGAAATATGCAGAAAGAGATAAAGAAAATAAGCTTACTTGCGGCAAATCATCTTGTCTTGGTTGTATTTGCGAGCCAAAGCCATCAAAGAAGGCTCAATAATCCCACCTCTCAACCTCAGAACAAGATGAAGCGTTGATTCTGCATCAAATTAGATCAACCGAAAAAGTAAAAAATATCGCTGAAAACGAAAGAAGAAAAGCTCAAAAGATTAACCTTTCTGGATATTGTAGTCAGCCAATGTACGGCCATCTTCGAGCTGTTTTCCGGCGAAGATGAGACGTTGTTGGTCCGGTGGTATTCCTGCGTTGGTTCAGGAAAATAGAACTTTTTAACTCAATCTAACAAGTTAAGGTGGAAAAAAAATGGAAATTGGAATATGGGGAAATTACCTTCTTTATCTTGGATCTTAGCTTTGACATTGTCAATGGTATCACTGCTCTCGACTTCGAGAGTTATGGTCTTGCCGGTTAGGGTTTTCACGAATATCTGCATCTTCTTCGGCCCGTCTCTCCACAAAAACAATCAGCGGCTTTAACCCTTGATTCTTAGGGTTTTATGTCGTTTTCAGGGGCTTCCTCTTTGAAGCCGAGATAGTATTAGGCCTTTTCCTTTGGGCTCAAAACATTTAGGCTTAACAAATTACACAAACCAAATTTGTGAATTATAATTTAGATCCGGAATAAATATTGAGTTTATTTATTAAAAAATTTAGCTAATTTTATTGTAACGCATTACAACTTATTTTTTAAAAGAAAATAGTACATTATTTTTTAACTTTAAATACTCGCAAACAATATGAATCGGGTAAGAAAATATTTTATTACCATGAAGTTATGGCCATGAAGTTAAGGGTTCTTGATGGGAGAACCACTATAAATGTGTAGCCATTAAGTTTTGTAAATCATACCATCAAATGACGTGTTTGGATGTTTAATAAACCTTAACGTTTTTTATTTCAAGTCTCTCGTCTTTTATCTTTGACAATAGCATTATCATAATATAAGATTACAATGGAAATATTGTATTATCGAATATAAAATTAATATGAAAATGTTGTATTACCTTATTTGGTTTGTCTAACAGAAATGTAAAATTACAGTGTTTGGTTGGAGGAATATAAGATTACCTAAATACATATTTTACCAATTTTGCCTTGTGATATATGTTTTTTAAAAACATTTTAACTTTAATATTGAATCATAAATATTTGAATAAAAATTCATAGCAACATTTTAATCGTTAAATTATCTAAATTTTGAGAAAAAAATACATTTAATGTATAATTAGTATATTAAATTTATATTTTTTATATAATTTTCATATGTATTTATGTAAAATATAATATAATATAAAAATAATATTATGATCTCTAGTGTTCAAAGATATTATTTTTCAACGAATAAGATTTATTTTTAATAACTTAAAGTTAGATATTATTTTAAATAATTGCATTTCTAAAATCATATTATTTTCATCTCATAAAATTATAAATAATTAATATATTGAATATTAAAAATATAAAATAATTTTAAATACTCAAATTTATTAATATTTTATTAAATTAAACTCTTTATATATTATTATATTTATAATTTTAAGTAAAGTACAAAAAATAAGAATTGAAAATTATCATTCTTATAAGATTATAAATAATTAATTTATTGAATATTAAAAATATAAAATAATTTAAATACTCAAATTTATTAATATTTTATTAAATTAAACTCTTTATATATTATTATATTTATAATTTTAAGTAAAGTACAAATTGAAAATGATCATTCTTATAAGATTATAAATAATTAGTATATTGAATATTAAAAATATAAAATATAAAATAATGTAAATACTCAAATTTATTAATATTTTACTAAATTAAACTCTTTGTATATTATTGTTATATTTATAATTTTGAGTAAAGTACAAAAAAATAAGAATTGAAAATGATCATTAGAAAAAAAATTCATTAGTCTAGAGATATTATTATCCAAAGTGGTGGGAATTGTCTAATTCCTATGAATTTGGAGGTAATGACATTCCCACCATTTTAATAAAAAAATGTTAATATTGGAAAAATATTATTCACTAGTAATAATCTTTTCCGTGAACCAAACATGGGAATACTATTCTGGAAAAGATTATCCCCCTTGGTAATATTCTTTTTCGCGAACCGAACACCCCCTTAATGGACACAATATTTTAATTTTAAAATTCAATTGAATACATTGAATAATCTTAGTGATATCCTAAGATTCTAGGTTCGAGCAGTTACATTTACAAAATATATATGTTGTTCATGATTAAGATAGATTATAAATAAATACTACATTAGGGTTACGTAGTCGCTCACCCTTCCCTTTTTTTGGCTTAATACAAAAATAAGTACCCAAATTTTACCTCGAAATAAATTTTAGTGCCTAAATATTTATTTGCTAAAGATAAGTGCCTAAAGTTTTAAACGTTATATTTTTTAGGTACTCGAACGTTAACTGTCATTAAATATTTCTGTTAAGTGACACATGTCACGTTCTAAAATTTTTTGAGAATTTATTTAAAAAAATTAAAAATTAAAAATATTTTTTTGTAAAAAAAATCAAACAAAACCCCCCGGTGCAACTCCCCCTTCCCACTTCTAAAAGTCGTCGGCCGACGGGTGTAGATTTTCACCGCCACCGGCGTCGAACCACAATCAAACCTCTATTAGCCTTGAGTTGTAATACACCACCATTTTTCATGGAGGGTTCAAAGGTTCGTCGGATTTTAAGCCTCCATCGTCGATTTCGGCCGATTCCAACATCCATAAGCTACACCGTCGCCACCATTCGAACCATCGTGCTATTCGGATCAAAACCCAACCGTTGGACGACGACGACGATGGCCGGAAACCATTTGGGTTAAAAAATTGAAATTGGAAATTAGAGATTTGTATATTGGAGATTTTAGATTTAGAGATTTTTGGTGATTGTAAGAACGACGATTGATCAATTGGTGGGTGGCGACGGGTGGGTGATCGTTTAGCGATGACGATGGTGGCTGGGGATGGGCGCAACGGTTGACAATGAGGTTGAAATGAAAGCTTTTAACTTTTTAGGGTTTTTTACAATTTCAATGAAAATTGGGGTTTTTTTATAAATAAATTGATCTTTTTTTATTTTTTAATTAAAAAAAATATTTTTATTATTAAAAAATTAAAATAAACGGTAGGCATCTAAAAGTATAATTGAAAAAACGTTAAGCACCTATTTTTAACAAAAAAATTGTTTAGGCACTAAAACGTATTTCGAGGCAAATTTTACACACTTATTTTTATATTAAGCCTTCTTTTTTTTCTTTTTTGCTTTGAGTTTGTATAGTTTTTTAAAAATTATATCACCTTTTTCTTCTTTGATTTTGTTTAGCCAGTGGTGAAACTGATTTTGATGCTAGTTACCAACCGTCAGTTCTTTTTTCTTTATTTCTGCCTTTGTGTCACGTTTTTTTCTGGGTCGTTTCACCGTTCTTTTATTTATGTTTTCTCAATGTTGGATTTGACAACGTCACAACTGATCAAGATGGCGATTATTTGAAATCTTGCTGATTTTCCCTGCTATAGACCTTTAGATTGAATTTAGATGCGTGATTTTGTGTTCGTGGATTGTTTCTCATTACGCTTGATTCTAATTTGACGTTCTCGATGGTCTTTCAATAGCTTAATTCCCTTTCGTGATTCATCTGTGGATGCAAACAAATTTATTCAAATCTTTTGGTTGAATTTTTAACTTTTTACATGTATAATCCTTATATAATCTAAAGTGGTTAATTTCAATATTATAAGAAAAATTCAAATTATGTATTTAATTTACAATGATAATGAAATTTTTTATTATAATTTCAAATATTCACTTTTTAATAATAATAGCCGTTTCTATTAAAAAATAAATAAATAATACTACATTGTAATATCCCATTCTATTAAAAAAATATTAAAATTTAATTAAGATGATAATCAGAGATAATTATTTGCAATATTTTTGTTCCTTTTATGCTAGGAAACATTTGGCTTGCAAAACCCACTTTCCAAGAAAACCTTTTAATTGTTGATAGAAGCTCAATAAAGATAGGAACCGGCGGTAGTTTATCACAACCCACGATAACAACAGAAAAAAAATGCACACAAAACACATGTTCAAATTGTGTTATAATTATAACTCCGGAGGGGAAGATAGCATTTCATTGGGAGCAAGAATTCTATCTGGATATTGAAAATATTATCACCATTGAACAAGTAGGAAGTTCTCATTGGCGATAAGGCCACAACCACATCCTCCACATAGAAAACTAAGAATATTAAATGGTAGTTCCAAAGATTGTCTTTCCAGATAAAAGATTAAAATCCACTCCAGAAACTAACGTTCAGCAAGTGAAATAGGCAAAACAAGCTTGATTGTAAATGAAAAATTGTTCATTAGAGAAAGATAATTCCAAGCATCACTGCAGCCATAGCTGTGTAACATATATGAAGCAGAGAATCACAGCCTTCTTCCACGTCTGCCACCCTTTCGGCGGGTACTGTCCGTGGGAATAGGGGTAACATCCTCTGAGGAGAAAAAAATGATACATGTCAGTGTGCGTATACAGTAGTTGAAGTGACTGGACTTAATAGAACAATATGGGAAATGGAAGGATGAAGGAAATGCACCTATTCGACCAATTTTCATGCCGGAACGAGCAAGGGCTCGAAGTGCTGATTGGGCACCAGGACCTGGGGTCTTCGTCTTGTTCCCTCCGGTAGCTCGGAGCTTTATATGAAGGGCAGTAATACCCAACTCCTGCAAATAATAGATATGAATACACATCAATTTACCACATATTAACTATATATTGAACCATAATTCAGGGGGTAGGCTATATAAACCTTGCAGCGTTGAGAAACATCTTGAGCAGCAAGCATAGCCGCATAAGGAGAAGATTCATCCCTGTCGGCTTTCACCTTCATACCACCTATTTTTAGGAAAATGCAAGGGATAAGTTGGGAGAATATTCTTCATAGAGTAACTCCATACCAGAACATTAATATTACCACCACGCATTGCAATGAGAAATCAACATCCTTTTTACAATTTGGCCTTTGAATAACTAGTCAGTTTCCTATGAAAAGCCAACAATTTCAAAGACCAGCAATGGTAATAATACAAAAAACCCAAGATCAACGAATCACTCATTTTCTAAACAGAACCATAAACCATACCAGTTATGCGAACCATTGTTTCCCTTCCAGACAAATCAGTCACATGCTGCAAAATTCAATCAGAGCATATCAAGCAGAATTTTGCACAAAAACAAAATCAATATCAGCATAGGTTGTCATAACTCACAATAAATGTGTCATTAAATGAAGCAAAAATGTGAGCCACCCCAAAAACATATTCGCCCTCTCGAACAGCAGGTCCAAGGGTAGTATTCTCCTCCTTAGGCTCCCTAACCTTTCTCCTCGACTACAAAATAATCCGAACAAAGAAGACATCAGCAATCTTAAAATGCACCCATGTCTTAAAATATCGATCCAATACTAACAAAAAACAAAAACAAAACACCGCGCCCTCAAAGACTCCAATTGAATCTGAAACAAACACCGTTCATAGAGAATGCCAAGTGAATAACACTAATCGAGGGGAACATAAAATTAAGTACTTATTACAAAACTACATCACTAATTTAGTCTGTAAAACTCAATCTTTTCTATGCCCAAATCCTAACCTTTATTCCCAGCAGCCAAACAATATTTAACTTGTAACCGAGAATTGAAAATAGATGCAAAGAGAGAATTACCATGGCTTCAGGCAAAATGATAGAGAGCTCGAAAACTAGAGTTTAACGCGAGCGCGTTCGCTGAGCTTCAGCCTCCAACGAAACTAGCTTTCTAATAGATATAGAAAAATCGATTACTATCGTTTTTATAGTTAGGGTTTTATTAACACCGACGGTAAATGACGAAAAAACCTTATTAATATATACCATTGGTGTAGTGGTAGATGCGTCATTTTAATCTTTTTCTGATCTGTAAATTTTAAATACTAAATAAGTATGAATAGTAAAATTTTAACTAATTTCAAAAATGAAATTTCATCATATAAATATTTTAATTTAATAAATAATATTTTAATATTATCACATGTTATCAATAAAAAAAAATTAAGTTTTAAATTTTAAATTTAAATCTTAATATTTTAATTCTTAATCTATAAATATTAAATCATAATCCCTCAATATCATGCAGGATATTAATTGACACCCTAAAATTTTTTAAATATTTATTTTTTATAATATATATATATATATATATATAAGTTTTAAAAATGGCAGCACTTATAAAAACCATTAATCTCTTGTGTGGTGATCGGTTATAAGATTCAACCGGTTGAGTATGAAAATCTCCTGCTCGTTTGCTTCTCATGTGGGCGGTTCAGTCACCTGAAGGATGCTTGCACACAACCATCAATCTCTTCGGTTACTGTCAACAAGGATTGTCCCACCGTGACCTTTATAATACACCAGTTCCGAATGAAACCATACAGAGTAATGAATCGAATATGACTCTCAACATGGACACCAACGATCAAACCAATCGAACTCCATATGGGACGTGAACGATCGTCGAGAGACGTCGTTATCGACCACAAACAGATAATTCTAGGAAACAAAACACTCCTAAAGTAACAAAATCTTTGGGATGCCATTTCGATACTCTAGTTGTTTCCCCTTCTGAAAATGGTAACTCCTGCCAAACTGAGGGAGAGAATCCGAGAACTACAAATATTGTTTCCTCGCTAAAAAATCTTTCCAAAACCACCACTAATCCCCTGTCAATCTTTGGATCCCTTATCCCTAATCCAAGGGGAAAATCAGTGACTAAAAATAAGAACCTTAACCCCACATCAAATCACGGTAGTGTTTCTATTTCTAAACCTACCTCTTTTACCTCTCCGGGCTTATCCACAGTTAACTATTTAGTGGTGGTTGGCCCAAGCCACATTACTCGCTTGCAAAATCTTAATCCTTTTGCCCTCATTCTCAATGCAACTAATGATTCCACGTGCATGACGCTCCCGTCCATGCATGAGATACAAAAAAATCCCTGCCATGCAAAACCCAACGTGCATGAATGAAATTTCCATAATTCCCTCCCCCATTACTCTTTCATCCTCTATTTAGATCTCCGTAAGTTTTAATGGGATTTTATTTTCATCGAATATTAACCCCATTTTCAAAAGAGAATAACTTCAGTGACCGAAAATGCCTTATAATATACGATTTTAACCAAAATTTTTTGGATTTGCGAAAATGACCAATAAATTTGCAATGCGAACTCCAATTTCGCAACACAATTTTCAAATACGCAACGCGAATTTGTAAATCGCAACACAGTTTCCAAAATCGCGTTGCGATAGTACTGTTTACCTATATCGGTAATTAGCGTTGCGAATTTGAAAATCACGTTGCGTATGTCGGTAATTAAGTTGTGAAATTGGCGAATTCGATTTGCGAAATTGGCAAATTCGATTTGCGAAATTCGCCTTGCGATAGTTGTGTTTACCTATATCGGTAATTAGCGTTGTGAATTTGAAAATCGTGTTGCGATAGTACTGTTTACCTATATCGGTAATTAGCTTTGCGAATTTGAAAATCGTGTTGTGATAGTACTGTTTACCTATATCAGTAATTAGCGTTGCGAATTTGAAAATCTTGTTACGAATATGAAAATCGCGTTACGATAGTACTGTTTACCTATATCGGTAATTAGCGTTGCGAATTTGAAAATCGCGTTGCGATAGTACTGCTTACCTATATCGGTAATTAGCGTTGCGAATTTGAAAATCGCGTTGCAATAGTACTGTTTACCTATATCGGTAATTAGCGTTGCGATTTTGGAACCTGTGTTATGAAATTGGAGTTCGTGTTGCGAATTTGTTGGTCATTTTCGCAAATCCAAAAAAAATTGGTTAAAATCGTATATTATAAGGCATTTTCGGTCACTGAAATTATTTTCTCTTTTCAAAAACTCCCTTGGATTGGAAGAACAACCTGTTAATACCACTCTAGACCCCAAAATCCATGTCGTCATCAAGTTTAACGAGAACCATGCCCACATACCACCTCACCCTCCAAACTCTCATGATGTTCCGTTCAATCATCTTTTCTCTGCCTCTAAAGAGAAAGGTGTCCCTTACATGTTTTGTAACGAATGCTTTAAGCTTAAATATACCAACTCCCCGTAACATCTAACATCTAGTTATAGAAGTTATGAATAACATTGTGTACTCCATACGTAAGCAAAGTACGACCCATAGCATGGACATCGTGCTTTCGATTCCCAATGCTGGTTTAAACCAATAATGCCACCTTTCCTATCATTTTCTATGGATTTTACTTAAATTACATGTAACTGTCAGGGATGTGTTAGGGTCAAATTCCCCAAAGTCTTTCGAGAATATAAGCAGGATCACAATTCCTCCATGGTCGTTCTCCTTGAACCTCGCATTAGCGATAGTAAAGCGGACCAAGTCATTTCTAAAATCGATTTTGAAAGGTCGTATCGTGTAGAGTCTGTTGACCTTTTCGGAGATGTAGACACACGTCTTTGACGAGACTTAAAATTATTATATTGTTATTATCATTATTATAATAATTAGTTATTATTATTAACATTATTATTATTATAATTATTATTATTTTATGGTCCCCATTTTCATTGGCTTTTTCTCACCCACTCAAACACTACCCAACAACAATTATCTTCCCCTACCATGTTGCCGTCCACTACCTCCACTAACTCAAAATGTCACGCCCTTGGAACTTCGACGCCTCGGAACGTGTGGCCTTAGTCACCTTCTTAGTGATCGCGGCTAAGTAAGCCTGAAAATAACCCAAGAAAAGATGTTTAGATTCTCAACGAAAGAAAGAACAAGAGAACTAGCACAAAAGGAAGATAAGAAAGCTTTAAGAGAAGAATGCTCTTATGATTTCTTAAAGTGAAGGAGTGAGTACAAATGAGGAGGGAGGCCTCTATTTATAGTTGAAGCTCCTCTCAATGAACGACTAAGATCTAATTACATCGACGTTCTAGATTGAAAGCACTATACCTAGTCCCACCAATCAAGGGATTATGTTTTCTATATAAAGTTGTAAAGCCTTCGCGGGTCCCAGAAGGTTGAAAACACCATTTAAGTAGTCTTAGGCTACTTCTCATGGGCTAACCTCTGTTGTGGGCTTGTGGTCCGTGACATTCTCCCCCACTAGTTCCGGTGACGCCCTTGTCGCTTGTCTGGCATGAAATTGGTCTATTCTGTTCTTGAATTGCCAAAGTCCCTCGGTAAGTTTCCAACTCCCTTCGCATTCGGGTTGTCCCTTCCATAGAACAAAGTACTTATGCCTCGGGCGGTGTCCTGGTCGTCGAATGACTCTCTTCGCCTGTATATCTTGAATCTCCTTGTTATAGGAGATCGCTACTCCGACTGGCACTCATTGTGACTTCCCTCGATCCGGATCCTCTACATCTTGATAGTACGGCTTGAGTAAACTAACATGGATCACGGGATGTGCTCGGATAGTTGGAGGCAACTTTAACTTGTAGGCCATGGTGCCTACTCATTTCACGACTCGAAACGGACCCTCGTATCTTCGTACAAGCTCCTTGTGCACATCTGCATGGCGCAAAATGTTGGCCAGTTTTGCAAGGACAAGATCACCAACTTCAAAGTTCAAGTCCCTACGCTTTCGGTTGTCCCACTTCTTAGTCCGTTTCTCGGCTTTGCGCAAACAAGCTCGGGCTAAGTCATGTTGCTCATGCCACTCCTTGGCAACATTGTGTGCTGATGGATTTGGCCCTTCATATTTAGTAACAACCATGTTGGGTGTCAGTGGTTGCTGTCTGATCACGATCTCGAATGGACTTTGGTTTTTCGCCTCGCTCCGTTGCAAGTTGTACGAAAATTGGGCCACATCCAACAACTTCGGCCAGTCGCATTGGTTGGCACTCACGTAGTGCCTCAGATATATCTCCAGCAAAGCATTCATTCTCTCGGTTTGCTCATCTGTTTGTGGATAAATTGCAGTGGAAAAGTTCAAGCTCGATCCCATCAGCTTGAACAATTTTGTCTATAATCTTCCCGTGAATCGTGTGTCCCAGTCACTAATGATGGTTTTTAGTGTCCCCCAATATTTCACCACATGTTTAAGGAAAAGTCAAATCACCTCCATGGACGGATACACCTTGGATGCTGGTATGAACGTTGCATACTTCGAAAACCTATCAACCACAACCATTATACTAGAAAGTCTGTCAGTTTTGGGCAAACCTATGATAAAATCCATGGAAACACTCTCTCATGGGCGCTCTGGAATGGGCAAAGGTTGTAGCAGTCCCGCCGGTTTCTTTGCCTCTATTTTGTCTTGCTGACAAACAAGACAAGTCTTTACATAGGCATGCACAGCTTCAGACATGTGTGGTCAATAATATTGCTCCGAAAGTATGGCCAAAGTCCAATCAATTCCTGGATGTCCCGCCCATTTGGAATCATGGCATTCCATCATGAGTTTCTTGCGCAACTTTTCATATCGAGGCACAAAGAGACGATGTCTTCGATAATAAAGTAATTCTCCCTCGAGCCAAAATTCCCTGGATCGTCCCTCCTTAGTTCCTTCAATGATTCGTTTGGAAGGTAACCCCTCTTTGATAATCTTGAGTAAAGTTACTTCCACGGTCTCGATGGCATACCTCCGGCTTAAGCCATCCGCAACACAATTCACTTTCCCTGGCTTGTACTCCATGGAAAAGTTGAACTCAGCAAGGAACTGTCGCCAACGAGCCTGTTTGGAAGAAAGCTTCTGTAACATCCTCAATACCAGGTTAGTGACCAAAT